AGGGGCCTCGGGATGTGGAGTCAGCTGTTCAAGTCTGCCCTCTACGCCTATGCTAACATCGGCCTAGGGTACTCTCTCACGGCTGACTTTATCGCGTTACTTTACCCGGGCTGGTCTCACAGACCTCGACTGTGTATACGGTCGATAGTCTCGGTCTCATACGTTCGATTCTCTTGTCATTCGGGAGAGACCAATGAGGCTCATGCGTCGAGGACTAAATGACGTGATAGGCATTGGGCCACGTGTGGCTTGTTTATTGTCCGACGTGTCGTATGTGAATTTTCCCACACAATAGGTTACATTGTGGGAACAAAACCCCAAATGTCTAAGGAGAAGAGAGAATGTGGAGGAAGCTGTGGAACTCAAACATCCTCCCGAGACATAAGTGGAGGCTTTACCAGCTAGGGAAGAGTTGGTTAAAGGAATTGGTGGTGGGGAGGTCTTGTGTCCTCTTTGTGGAGAGGAAAGAGAGTTTACTACTCACATTTTTCTGTTTTGCAGGGTAGCCCGTTTAATTTTGTTCCAGTCTAAGTGGAGTCTTAGATCATGAGATCAAAACTTCAAGAGCTCGCATGAATTCCTTTTTTTTTTGCTTCTTGTGCGGTGGAGACTATTTAGAGAGCTAGGAAAGACAAGGTGTTCAGAGGGAAAGATTTCAACCCTCTCAAAGTTTATAGAGATGTTGTATTACAGAGCAATGAGTATCACTCTCGCTTGACTCCGAGAGTAGATCGAATCAATCTAACTGGAAGCTGGCAGACTCTGCCTACGGAGTGGATCAAAGCTAATGTTGATTGCTCCTTAGGCCCTAATAGCACGGTGGTAGCCGCAGTGAGGAGGAACTCGGATGGAAGGGTGGTGTTAGTGGCCACCCGTTTGCTTAATACTCGAGAGCCTCTGGTTGCTGAATTGGAAGCTGTTCATTGTGCTTTAAGAATATCTTAATTTTCTGTCAATTGCTATTGAAAGTGACTCTGCCGTTGCCATTAAAGTCTCGTTCGCTTCGCAGATTCTAGTTTTTAATTTGAGTTGTGATATTTTCTGAGAGCTTTTAACTGTAGCAGAAAAAATTAAATGTGACATTTTTTAAAAACTTTTAACTCTAAAAACTTAATATTAAAAACTCGAATCGATGAAATACACGAAACCTAAAAAACTTTCAAACTCCTTAGCAGTTTGCCCATAGACAATCAAAAACATCAAAGTAGACTATGACTACCTCAAGCGAACCATTAATCATATTAACTTCTCTTGGATCGGTAGAAGCGCCAACTTTGCGAGCCACAATTTAGCGAAGTGGGCACGGTTAAGTCTTGTATCGAAAGTTATTCCCTTGGCGAACATTAACAATTATGAGAAGTGGTTCCCCTTGAATGGGTCTCAGTAGTCGAGTGTGTACTGTGTCTCTTTCAGTGTTTATTGTGTTTAGTAGTTTTTGTAGGCGTCTCGGTGTTCTTTTCGTTAGTTGTCTTGTGTCTGTTTGTTTGCTCTTGTTGTGTTCGTCCTTTGTTTGTGGTTTCTTCGGTTTTCGGTGGAATGGAATCTCTTTTTAGCAAACAAACAAAAAAAAACAAAAAAACAAAAATAGATAGATTAATATGTAGGTATAGAAATGTCCACCGGACATGAATCATACATCAAACTGTGTTGAGTGCCCTCTCCTGTCACATGGCCTTGAATCTCCATTTTTTACTCAGCATACATTTCCAGGTGTCGTTTCCATTCATACGCTCGAGTAAAGACGTGCCCATATATGATTATTTTGTTTTAAGATTCCTTTCAATCATTTAGGGGGAAAAAAAAAAGATTCCTTTCAATCCTTCCCGAGACACATGGTAAACAATTAAATGGCGCAATATCGTATTTTTCTGTGTGCTTTTTTATGAAATGAAAAATGTAGAAAAAGAACTTAAGGACCATTTGTCTAGGGAAATAAAATAAAATAAAATAAAATAAAGACAGTTAAAAGGATTGAAGTTTGTTTAGAACATATACTCAAATTTAAATTTATATTTTATTATAGTATTTTTTATTTTATAAAAGAGTTTAAATATTAAAATTTTCTCCCACACAAAGTTTCCGCCAATAAACTCAAATCATGATGAATATATGTTCTAAACGGGCCTTAACTTTTTTGTCATTTTTTGTTGAGTAAATTTGATAAAAATACATGAGTCGGGATTTTTAATCTTTACTCTTGATTCATAACTTTTTTAATCAAATAATTATAATAATAAAATGATATTTATCAAAAATAAAAGGTAAAGATTCAGACTCCTACCGAATAAATTCTCTATTTTTTTCTTTTTTTTTTTGGTAATTTAAGCTTTCAAGCCGCAATAATTCATTAGATTAAATCAAGTCTAGTGATTATACGATTTATTATATAAATAAATTATTTTTGTGCTTGTACGAAAAATAGCACCTGAATGAAGGAAAAAAAAAAAAAAAAAGAGGCGTGCGCACACAATGTAGTGCTGAAAGCTAGCTTGCTCAGATAATAGAAGTTGACAAAATACAAGTGGTTCAATTCAACAAAAGTGATATGCAAACATTTCACAAACACTAATTTAAACAAGCCATCTACCACCTTTCCATCATCTACATCCTACTCAGACCAACTGCTCGTTCCGAGGACGAGGCCGCCTCCGCCGCCGTCGATCCCATCGCTTTGGCAATCTCTTTAAGCAGAAACTTCTGAATCTTCCCGGTCGAAGTCTTCGGTAGCTCGTCCCTAAACACCACCGATTTCGGCACCATGTAATGCGGCAGCTTCTCCCTGCAATACTCCAAAATCTCCTTCTCCGTTGGTTTCCTCCTTACACCATTTTTCAATTTCACGAAGGCGCACGGCGACTCCCCCCAGTAGTCGTCTGGCCGCGCAACCACCGCCGCCTCGTCAACCGCCGGGTGACCATACAACGCCGACTCCACCTCCACGCTGCTCACGTTCTCCCCGCCAGTTATGATCACGTCCTTGGACCTGTCCTTGATCTCCAAATACCCATCCGAGTGCATCACTCCCACATCGCCCGTATACATCCATCCCTTACTACTATCTATACATTTAGCAGTTGCTTCCGGGTCTTTAAGGTAACCCAACATCAAACACCCACCTTTTAGTACTACCTCCCCAATTGTCAACCCATCTCTCTTCACGCTCAGCCCGGTATTCGGGTCGACTACATCCACCTCCGCCATCGCTGCCGTCCTCACCCCTTGCCGGGCCTTGAGCCGGGCCTGCTCGGTCGCAGGCAGCTGGTTCCATTGCCGCTTCCACGCGCATGATGTAACCATTCCTCCCGTCTCCGTCATGCCATAACCGTGGCTGACGACAAACCCGAGGGCTTCCGTCCGATGGAGCACCGCCGAAGGCGGCGGAGCTCCTGCGGTCATGATATGAACTGGGCTTTCGAGAGCTTTGGCGTTGGGAGTGTTGGACAACATGTTGAGAACCACCGGCGCACCGCACATGTGAGTACGGCGGAGCTCCTGCGGTCATGATATGAACTGGGCTTTCGAGAGCTTTGGTGTTGGGAGTGTTGGACAACATGTTGAGAACCACCGGCGCACCGCACATGTGAGTGACGCCATGGCGGCGGATGAGGTCGAAGATGGCCGGACCGTCGAATTTTCGGAGGCAAATATTGGTCCCACCAACGGCCGCCATCCCCCATGGGAAAGTCCATCCATTGGCATGAAACATAGGGAGAGTCCACAGGATTACCGGCTGTTTCGGTACACCCCATTCGACCAATGAATCGACAGTTACAATAAAGATCCCTCTGTGGCAATGAACAACTCCCTTGGGAGAGGACGTCGTGCCGGAAGTGTAATTCAGTATGATTGGGTCCCACTCGGTCTCCGGCCTCAGCCACCGAAACCCAGAATCTCCTCTCTCAACCAACTCCTCATAATTGCAGTAAAAACGACTGTTAATAATTTCCGGTGAATGTAACGGCGCTGCTTCATCGGCGATGAGGACGAGCCGAGGGACCGGAGCATTATTCGGAAACAAAGAGATGGCATCAATTACAAGGTTTACGGACTGTTGGTCGACGAAGACGAGCTTGGACTCGCCGTGACGGAGCATGACGGAGATTGTGCGGGAGTCAAGGCGGGTGTTGAGGGTGTTGAGGACGGCGCCGGCCATGGGGACAGCGAAGTGGAGCTCGTACACGGCGGGGACGTTTGGGGCGACGACGGATACTACTTGACGGCGCTTTACTCCGAGGGAAACGACAATTGAGGAGGCTAAACGCAGGCATCGGCGGTAAGTGTCCGACCAGGTGTAGACGGTGTCGTTGTAGATGACGGAAGGGCAGTCGCCGTAGACGGTGGCGGCTCTTTCGAGGAAGCCGATCGGGGTTAGAGGAGGATTGTTTGCTGGGTTTGGCTTTAGATTTTCCATTGTTGAACTTGAAATGGTGGAGAAATATGAGAGATGTAGTGAGCTATGAGGGACTAAAGGCAGTAGAAGGCAAATGGTCCATTGAGTGGTTGAGATTCATTTTGTGAGATCCAGTCATCCCAAACCATGCACGTGGGACCTGGAAAGTGAAAATAATCTATAATTCTCAAAATAAAATAAATGGTGCTCCTCTTTGGAGAAACAATTTTTTTTTTAAATTTCTTTCTTTCTTTTCTATCACTCGGGGACCTCTTGAAAAGTTATACAAATTAACTAAAGTTTTTTTTTTTTTT